CGAGGGCCGGACTGGTTCAATGTTTATTTCAAAACTTATTGAAATGAACTTATTGCACATATTAAACCTGGAACTAACAAAGCTTAAATTATTGCCTATAAAAACAACATTAAACATTAAATAATCAGTTGCATTCATTTCTTATGTCTCTATCTGCAGCTTTTCCAGAGTAATTTCTTATGATTACATTTCTCCACAGGCCAACAACAGCTTCAAAAAAACTATTTCCCTCAAAGAAAAACCCAAACATGCCCTGTTGTCTCAAGAAAAAAAGTGCAGAAGGAAACATCCATGTAAACTCAGTGTGCTGCTCTGTGATGCTAGTTCAAGCCAGATACTTGGCATCTCATCTTGGGTGCAAGGTCATCAATGTTTGGGGTCAGGCTCTGAGCTGAGGAAACCCTCAGGATTGAGTGAAGGTGTGCGTGCAATATACCGGAGGGCCAGATCTAATAGTAATTAGAAATTATCCTGCGGGCCGAAATTAAATCCACCAAGGGCCTGATTTGGCCCCCAGGCCTTGAGTTTGACACATGTGCTGTAGAGTGTGAGTTTAAGATGAGCAAATAGTACAGGGTTGTTGAAAGAAAGAAATGCATTCAAACATATAATATTTAAAGTGAAAGATAGTCATCATGTCTCAAGTCAGGTCGAGCTTTGGGTCAGTTATTTAAGGCATCAAAACATGGATTGGGGTCGGAAAAATGCAAAGGGGTAGGGTGTGAGTTTACGATGAGCTGTTAAAGGAATACATGGGATCCAACTTGAAATATTTTAACCAAAAACGTCAAATTAACACGAAAAGTCATGTTTCAAATCAAATTCAGCCTCATGTATTTTCAAGTTGCAAGTCATCATGGGGTCCGTGCAGTATCTCTAATTGCTGCACAGATGACGGCTCTGTGGGAGAAGTCTTCCTTCAACAGAAAGACAATAGACAGTAGAGAGAGATCCAGCGTGAGTGAGCGTCTCTGAAAGTGGATCTGAAGGCGGATGAGTCTCTGACCGCATTAACAAAACCTAATGGAGCGGCTGGCTCCACCAAGCCTCGCCATCCATTATCTGACTGTTGCCCCGCGCAACCAAGGAGGCTAACGGGCTGCAGCTCGCCCTATGGCCTCCTCTCTCTTTTCCTTTGTCTTATTTCCACCGGCCTTAATGAAAATGATGGCTAAATCAATTCCCCTGGTGCGTAGAAGGAGCCGGGTAATGTTGCCTCCCCCGGGCCTGTGGTCGCAAATCAACTGTAAATCAGCAGGGGGGGGGGGGGGGGGGGACAAGAAGAAGAATTTATGTCTTATTTTGAAAGGCAGATGTCATCTGATATAGCATTGTTAGCACGTCATGTTTAGATTGATAGGTAGGTAGGTAGGTAGGTAGGTAGGTAGGTAGGTAGGTAGGTAGGTAGGTAGGTAGGTAGGTAGGTAGGTAGGTTATAGTTAGTGTTTAAATGTTGAAGGAAGTATTCTGATCTTATACTCATGTAAAAGCACTGACACCTCATTTTAGGAATACTCTGTTTACAAGTCCTACATTCAGAAGTACTTAAGTAAAACTATTGGCAGCAAGAGGATTCAAAGCGAAATGGCCCATTTCAGAGTCATGTATTGAATTACTGGTTGATGATTATTAATGCATTATTGTTGATCACAGGTGAGACAAATTAAGAAAACTACATGTTAAACCGTTGACTTATCTTAACCTAATCATATGTCAATGTTAATCTATTAGTTGATGTATATTTTGTATTAGCTAATAATTAGAATCTGTAAAGTAACTTAAGCAGTCAAATAAAAAGTTCAATATTGGCTTCTAAAATGGAGTAGAAGTATCAAGTAGAATAAAGTGGAAATACCTAAGTAAAGTACAAGAACTGAAGTGGAAAACTCTGGGGTTTCTGAGCATTTTGCACCATGACAGGTTAACACTAAAAAGAGACATTTCTAAAAGATTCATTTGTTAATTTCTGCACATCAGTAATTGTCAAGCTATTGCTCACTAACAAGGGGATTATATAGCGGGTGGTGTTTTAAGAAGTGACTCAGAGAGACCTCCACTGTGAGCAGATAGTGGAGTTTTGTGTAGAGATTTAATGCCACATAGTCTCCCTCTTTACATTACTGGTCTGGTATTCTGTGATTGTGGCCCTGTGGGTTTAAACACTCGAGTGTGTGTTTGAGCAACCTGCTGCTGTGCTGAGAAAATGACAGCATCCTCTGAGAATGCTACACATACTTACTGCTAGGTGGCTAATCTCTCTTAATCCATGGCACACAAACACAAACACACACACATACACACACACACACACACACACACACACACACACACACACACACACACACACACACACACACACACACACACACACACACACACACACACACACACACACACACACACACACACACACACACACACACACCTTTTGTGTGGTCGCACAGAGAAAGTGTTTTCTGTGGACGGGGGTCAGGAGCAAAGGCCGCTCTGATTCAGGACGTTCCCAGGAACTAAACAGCAGATGCATTGTGTGTGTGTGTGTGTGTGTGTGTGTGTGTGTGTGTGTGTGTGTGTGTGTGTGTGTGTGTGTGTGTGTGTGTGTGTGTGTGTGTGTGTGTGCGTGTGTGTGTGTGTGTTAACATTATTCTTCTATACTACAAAATGTTTATTAGGTAAAGATTATCTACTCATTACAAGTGTCAAATAATTGTCCTAAAAAGTACTATATTCGCCTCTGCAAAAGTATAAAGTACCATACAAATGGAAATATATATCAATCATAATGTTTTTTATGTCAAAAGTTACTATTAACTGCATTGTAGTGAAGTCAAAAGAACTTCATAAGCCTCTGATTTGAGGTAGAATAAAAGTATAAAGGGGCAGAAAATGAAAATACTCAAGTAAAGTACAATCTCCTCAAATTACACTTAAGTACTCTACTTTAATAGATGTATTTAGTTACTTTGCAGCGCTGTGTTTGTGCCTTTGAGTACTGTTTTGGTTTTTGGTTGAGACAACATGAAAGATGTGGACATGATTTAAACAATGTTAGGACATTTTAAGCAATTATATTCATGTGACTCACGCCACCGTGCAACAACAAGCACATTATTTTCCTCTTGTTCTCCTGTTGTTCAGCCAGACAGCGGGTCATGTGAGCGGATCTGCAAATGATAATTCCTCTGTAATGTGAAATCATTACAAGGAGTTTCAACGTCCACGCCAAATTGGTTTTGTGTTTTGTTTTGCTGCTCGGTGTCTCTCAGCAGCCGGGCCACAGGCATTACTCATATAAGAGGAAATAATGACGCCAAGGTCCATTAAGTGGGATGGCAAGACATCATATCAGCATTAATCTGCCACTTAGCAGCCTCAGGAGGGGGGGGGGGGCAGGGAGAGGGGATTTGATTTCCAGCTCCTCCCAACTGGACTCAGGCTTTTAATTCTTTATTGTCTTTTTATGATATAAAACTTTGATCAAAAGATCTGGAAACAAATTGGTTTTCCCGTGACCAAGCCTAATGCTCTGTTTCTTTTTATAACCCGGTTATGTCACCCTTAAAGTCACAGTGAAGTTATTAGATGTGATTAAATCAATGTTTCTACTGTATATGCCAAGAGCAGGAAGAGTCGTTTTTGTACATGGTCCCTACCAACAAATAAATACCATTTAAACAATTTATTTTTTCAATTGTAATAATGATAATAATCCTTATTGTAAATGGATAATGTCTTTTGTGTTGTTCAAAGCATCCCAAAGTCAACGTTTCGGCTAGTTTTACAGAATATCCTGCTGCTGTATCAAAAAATGCATGATTTCTCCACTAATGTCTGTAACCTGAAGGAGTGGGATCATGTGCTTGTTATTGCGGGGTTATATATGAGGGCTTTATCAACCTGTTGCTTTGTGAAACATAACATTTTGATTAATATCAGGTGTGAATATAGGCCATTGCAAGATCCTGTGATGGACAACACCAGGACAGCAGACCAATTTTGTTCGGTGCAGTTGAACGAGTGGTTAATATAATTAAAAAAATTAAAAGATGTAACAACACTGTCTCAGGGAGGCTGTGGCGCAGTGAGTTAGTGCGGTGGTGTTCGGATCAGGGGAGCACAGGTTCAAACCCCACTGCAGTCAGCATGTCGTTGTGTCCCTGGGCAAGACACTTCACCACAAATTGCACCTGTGGGGATTGCCCACAGTATTGAGTATGTAAGTCGCTTTGGATAAAAGCGTCTAACAAGTAACATGTAATGTAATGTAATGTCTCCATCATGGATCATTTCTGTGGTGCACAGCGCCATCTAGTGTCTTTAAATGACACCAGAGACGGTTTAAAAAGGAGAGAGAAGCCGCACTGGTAGTCGTGTATCAGATTATGACCGATTCATTGCCCTTTGAGGGACTAAAATAGATAATGGACCTATCTTTCACAGCCACATATTTTTAGGGCATTTCTATACAAACATTTCGTTCAGACAAATGTCTTTGATTGTTCAGCCTCAGCAATCAGCATCAAACTATCGCGAGATCAGGCATCACAGAGCGTTAACATCAGTTAACCTGTGTCATTTTTGTTGACATGAAATCATCCTACGTTCTCTTAGGAACTAGATACTTAAATGTATAATGCTAATATGTTTGTTATCTGTTAAATACGTAATATTAGCAGAACAATATAAAATACATTTTCTTTACGCCATTCTTATTAAGCAGTCATGTTTGCAATGCGGCGTCTTCACTTAAAGAGCATCTTTGGTAAAACATGGGGCCTAAATATAGCTGTCCTAGAAGATCCCTGAAACACCGTAGATTGGTTTTATATCTAATATTCTACATCATCATGTATTTTACAAGCTTTCATTGAACTATATTTAAAAACACTAAACAAAAGGCAATATTGTTAATGGCTGCATTAAGCCACGATATGTTGCTGCGTTTTTCTTTAGTTGTCCTACAACTTGCCTGATTACAAACATCTGTCAGTTGCTCTTCTTGTTAGCCGTTAGCTCAACTGGTTCCCAGGCTGTCAGTTGCTAACAGCGACGACAAATTCTAATTCTATCCTTATCTGTGGCTCCATAAAACCGCCAGGATGTTTGAGGAGGCCAGTGAAGTGTTCGACAACATGTTTAAATCCTCTTTCCCCCTCACCTTTATCGTGTTTATCCCCGCGGTGCTGATCCTGGTGTCTCCGCTGCCGGCCGATGCGGCTCATGAGTTCACGGTTTACCGCATGCAGCAGTACGACCTGCAGGGTCAACCCTACGGTGAGGAGGCTGTTTATCTATTGTATCAATCGGGAATTAATGTAATCATTATAAGGTTAAGGTATCCAGTGACTACGTCGTTTCTCAGCTCACGTTAAGATGCCTATAGTAGCCTTTCAATGACGGCGTGCAGGCTAGCATTGGCTAACTAGCTGCTAATGTAGCTTAGCGTTGCTAGATGGTAATATCAAGCTAGCAATTATTTTTCTTTCCGAAGCTAGCGAATTTACTAGAAGCTATTCAGGGTTATGATACCAATTAACTTAATAATACTTACAATTAAACAGATCAATAGGTACATTAATTTAAAAGACACACGTAGGTATACACATAACATTAAAGAAAACACATTTAAATGTCTTTATACATTATTTATGTATATATATAATGTTTCCTTATATTTTTACTTGGACTCTTTTGATAAATAATCATTTTGTTTTTTAGTCAAATTGCATTCCAAGTAGTCATACCCAAATGTGAGAGACACAACTCTTACAGAATCGGTTGACCTCTCTTCACACCTGTTTAAACTATGATTAGTGGGATTTGTATATCGTAAGGTCTAAAGAGGACTATGTTTTATAACCAAAGATATAGTGATGGAACATTTTGTCAAGAATAAAATAAAGAATACCATTTATCTTTTCCAATACAATAAGGTTAAGAACTTCCATTAGGGATGACTATCTAACTGGTCACATTTTTAAAAAGTATGATAAGTTGTGCTGGCTGTTTCTGTGGCAAGTCTTTGATGAAGATTAATGAAAGCTTTCAGACTTAACACATATGTTAAGCCCCCAGCATTAGTCTGTAGAAAAAGTGGCCTTTGATTCAACATAGTTAAACAGCTTTTGTGCACTTTCAAAAGGCTCAACCACTGCCCTTTCTTGCTGACACAAAGACGGGAGTTATCTTATTAAAACTGATGTTTTCTGTCTCTCTTTCCCTCAGGTACCAGGAATGCCATCCTGAATACGGAGGCTCGTACTGTGGAAGCAGAAGTATTAAGTCGCCGCTGTGTAATCATGCGGCTTGTAGAATTTTCCTACGAAGAGTATCAGAAAGCGCTTCGACAGTCAGCAGGAGCTGTGGTCATCATCCTGCCCAAGAACATGTCTGCTATGCCGCAGGACATAGTTCAGGTGATAACAAGTTTTAATGCTACAAATCAAAGCCTTCTGCTCCCTTCACCCTCAACTGTTTCCACTTTAAATGTGTTTGCAAGTTAAAAGCTAAGTGCAGTACTCTGTGGATTAAATATTAAACGCTTCGCTATACCTCCAAAAGAGCTTTTGAAATGATGCATTTGGCAGTGGGAATATTTTAAAAAGAAAATGTGCAAAGGTGGTGTTGCAATATTTAAAACTGGGATAGGCAACTTTGGAGAAACAAGCAAAAAAAAGCTTGTTTTTCGGGAGACTTTCAACAAATATACCTAAAAATGTAATTATCTTCCATAGCTTTTAAGTGAACATTCTCTACAGATGTAGAGCACAAGAAGAATACATATTTAAAGAGATACACATTTTGTTTTCAGTATTTATTCATGGTACAAGTCATGAGTAGCAATGCTTTCTTAAAGGTCCCATGTCATGGCCATTTCTATTTATCATAATTCCATTGTTGAGGTCTACTAAAATACATTTATATTGTGCAATTTTCCAAAATCACATTGGTTTCTCATACAGCATCTCTGTATAGTATGTGTATTCACTCTCTGTCCTACACGGCTTGTTGGAGCTCCTGCCCCCCCACCTCCCTGTGAGCTCAGTGGCCGTCTGCGAGACAGCGAGACACAGCGAAACCCAGCCTGAAACACACACACACCCGCAGCCTGGCTGGGAGTTTGTGTGTGTGCTCAGGCTGAGTTCCGCGGTGTCTCGCTGTCTCGCCGACCCCACACCAGTGAGCCAGCTCACACTGTCCCGCTCCTCGCAGCAGCGAGCCTCGCAACTGTGTGTGTGTGAGGAAGTCTTCGGATTGGTCCAAACGTAACGGCTCCGAGGACGTTACGTTACGTCACTATACCCGAAATACGTCACTATACCCAAGAAGTAAACAATGGAAAAAGAGAAATCTCCAACGAGGCGTTCTGGAGCAGCATAGACAGGTCTTTTCTGTGTTAGAGTTTTACTCGCTACAGGGTGTACTTTGAGGGTTTGTGACTCTGCAGACCGTTTACATGCAGAAAAAGCTACATAACACACAAGGGGACGGGTAATAACCAGAAAAGCATGACATGGGACCTTTAATCTCAGTCAAACACTAGCTTATCATTTGGGTTGAATTTATTTAGACTAGTGCCTTGCTCAAGGGCATACCAACCGAAAAAGAATGGCAATACATAATTGGTTCAATATCAAGCTATTTAATACTTTGAAGCTTTTACCCTCAACTTTTTGAGCTTAATATGACTTAAAAACAGAGAAAATGTTAATCAAGGCTATTCCACCCTTTCACAGAGATTGAAATATATCAGTATATATACATATATAATATCTCACTTAGGAAACACTGTGACTACTTCTTTGAGTAGGATTGTAAGTCTTTCTGAGATGCTTGTTGGGATTTAATTAGTTACTTATTTAGTTAGTGGACGTAGTATAGTCGAGACAAAAAGTTACTTAGATAGATAGATAGTACTTTATTGATCCCAAAGTACTATCTATCTATCTATTATTAAACTTGCAGGGTTTAATAAATAAATCAGATTTTCCCTCTTGTTATTGAATCCATCAGCATATCACGCTACCAGATGCCACTGAGTGTCTTCTCTTAAACGCGCTGTCCCTCCTCTGTTTGTCCCCTGCAGCAGTTCATGGAGCTGGAGCCGGAGATGTTGGCCACAGAGACCGTCGTCCCCGTGTACTTTGCCATGGAGGACGACGAGCTGCTGTCCATCTACACCCAGACCCTGACCTCCTCCTCCTCTCAGGGCTCCCTATCGGCCGCCGAAGGTACAAAATCACTCCCTTTACACCGGACCTGCTGAAGGGCTTAGATTGTTTGCATTTGTTAGAAAGATATCACTCGTCACCGGCTTGAGCTTCAATATCAGGATGTATTTATTATCCTCTCCAGAATGGAAGTAGTCATCACATCCAGAGCATCAACTAGTTCCTGAACAGTGTCCTTCACATGCTGATATCCAAGAGAGGGAGTTACACAGTCACAAGATGGAGGAATAGAAAGCAGTATTCAATGTTTACTTCAGATTAGCTCCACGTCAGAAATGATCATGCTTGTCATATGTCTCTCTCCATAGAGGCTGAATCATCATGTTAATCACATAGCTATCATGTGCCTAAAACAGTCCTGATGCTCTTCTAGGTAATCATACATCCTGTCATGAACACAGCTACAGTTGGGATACCTTTGTTATCATGTGTACTCTGATATTGGAAGAGGACGTTCAGTATTTTCCCAACAGCATTATATACAGTTTTGATCATTTCTAAATATGTTTTCTGTTGATTCCTGCAGTGCTGCTGCACACGGCCACAGCTAACGGCTTCCAGATGGTGACCAGCGGAGCTCAGAGTAAAGCCATCAGCGACTGGGCCATCACCAGCTTAGAGGTGAGAGACTATATCGTATTCATTGGAAAACTGTGCCTGAATCGGCTGGTTAAAATGTTTTTTAAATGATACTGGTTGTGACGTAAAACATGTGATACCTATGTCTGCTACAATCATGCCTTTTTTAAGTTGATGGTTAATTGCAATTCCTGTTTCTATTTTGATTTATTTTCTCGCACATAGAAGTTCAGTTGTTTGGCTTTGAAACTACACATTCAATTATGTTGTTAATCTAAATGGCTGATCATTAAAAAGGTGCAATTAAAGGTGTGTCAAATAATCTCTAGAACTTTCTGCAAAAATGATTCACCTCTTGCTTCCTGTAGTTTGTGCAATTCACAGATAGCAGTATTGTGTTCTTATATTTTAATTATTTAGACTTTAAGATAATAATTTAACTAAGATACACCTTCATAAATCAGGTGTCATAATAAAGGTGAAACAAAGTACATAAAAGACTTAACGCTGGGATAATAATAATAAGACTAAACATGTCAGTCACAGTATGAATTCAAATAACAAGATACAGTAAGACACTGAGTCGCTGTATTTACAGAGTGAAGATTATTATGAATGACTGAATACATGTATATACATGTCTGTGTTGTTGAAAGTATCAGTGAAGTCTTTACCCTCAGTATTTGGGTTTCTGCGAGACGTTTTTTTGGAACCTAAAATGTAAAAAGATGGAAAGTCCGAGCAGTTTTCCTCACACAGAAATAAGCCCCCATGCAGACGGTGGTTTAGTGGTTAGAGCTGTTGACTGGAAGCAGGAAGGACCTCGGTTTACCTCGTCTGGGTCCTTCCTGTGAGAGGTGTGCTCTGTAGAGTTTATTCTGGTTTCCTCTCACGGTCTGCAGGCCTGACGCTCAAATGTATAATATACGTTTTCTTCTATGACGAGATCATTATCAATTACAAAGCATCCAGAACACTCATATTTGTTAATAGATATGGTGAGGCTTCAGTATTAAATTACATGCCTGTATTTTATTATAGAAAAAGGTGTTTTTTTAGTTCAATGAATGCTCTTATAAAGCCTAATAAAGGTTCTGTCTTCATGCCAAAGCTTTGGGAAATGAACTAAAGGCTTCTTTGACTTTAATGCTGTACAATGCATTAGAAACAAAGTGAGGCGATGTCTCCACCTGTACATCATGTTAATTGGGGTATTGATAACTTCATTTGATACCACTGAAGGGCAGGGTTCCCGCGGGGTCTTAAAAAGTCTTACATTTGATAATCTGAATTTTAGGCCTTAAAAATGATTTAGAAGGTCTTAAAAATGATGGGATTTGAAAGGTACTTCTGTGTTGCGATCGTGTCTAAATGTGTTTTGGGGGAAATGTCCGTGCTGCAAAGTAACCTGTACGGCAAGAGCCTTTCTGTTCCCCCCCAACAATCTGTATTGAAATAAATCAACATGGAACCAGTAATCACTAACTTTGTTTCCCCCGGCCCCTTATCGGAGAACACCCAGCTAGTAACCTAGCAACCAACCAAGCTTCAGCTAGCGGCAGTCAGAAACCTTGGTATCTTCGAATCTACTTACAAATAAATATGGGGAAGTGTAAGTTCAACTGTATTTGGTTGGAAAACATCGAATTTAGTGCTTGGTTGAAACCAGTGGAGGGGAACGTGTTTGAAGCCCGCTGCACCTTTTGCAAAAAAAAATAGCGTTTGTTTTGCTAATGCAGCGTTAGCTAGTGCAGCAGCTCCCGCAACAACATCGGGGGACCTCCGGGCGACGTTGACGTCTACAAGCGGAGGTGCTGTGGATGCTAAATACCGTAGCTAAACACCAATCATACAACAACATGAAGACAGCAGAGCTCTGACTATAGCTCTTGACACCCACACACACCCACACACACCCACACACACCCACACACACCCACACACACACACACACACCCACACATACACACACCCACACATACACACACCCACACATACACACACCCACACATACACACACACACCCACACACCCACACATACACACACCCACACATACACACACCCACACATACACACACCCACACACACCCACACACACCCACACATACCCACACATACACACACCCACACATACACAGAGACACACAGACACTTTTTGTCTAACACGCTAACACAGTTCTGTGTACTGTTATGTTCAGTCATCGTTCTTATGTTGAACGTGAATACATTTACTTTGTAAGTAATTATGGGACGTATTTCTTCTTTCATAGCAATTTTCCTTCATACTTTCTTGCCGTGAAATAGGTCTTAAATTCTATTCAAAGTGGTCTTAAATTTGAGTTGGTGAAACCTGCATGAACCCTGGAAGGGGCTTTACAGTACATAGGACATCCTCTGTTGTACTCCCTTTTAAGAATGAGTGCAACACAAAGCAAGAGTGACGTGTTAAGTCAGGACTTTCTAACTTGATCTGAGGATTACTCTGACTCCGCTCTGTTCCCTTTGTTCCTCTGAGTCTCGTGCTTCAGATAATCTGTTTCTGTTTTAGTCTCTCCTCTAACGTCTCTGCTTTTATTCCTCAGGGTCGTCTGGCTGGAGTCGGAGGAGAAGATCTTCCCACTATCGTCGTGGTCGCTCACTACGACTCGTTCGGTGTCGCTCCGGTATGTTCACCGCTCCTTTTGTCCTACAATTAAACCCCAGATCTTAAAAAAAACTACAGGGAATGACCGTTACATATATGATATGTGTGTAATGTGTATTTGTAAAGCGCTTTGAGCATCTGGAAAAGCGCTATAATAAATGTAAGGTATTATTATGAAAGTAATGTGTGTGTTTTCTTGTTCAGTGGCTTTCGTACGGAGCCGACTCAAACGGCAGCGGGGTGTCGATGTTACTCGAACTCGCTCGGCTCTTCTCAAAACTTTACACCTACAAGAGGACACACGCTGGGTGAGCAATAACACCACTCAATCTAACACATAGAGATTTGTTTCTGGATCATTTTGTACCCATCATCCTCAAAAATAAGATCTTGTGTGTATTTTTAGTTTCATAAAAGAGCTCATTTCTGATGTTTCCTGCACACCACAGACACCTCTACGCTGCGCACTCACTTGTTCCTGATGAAATGGTGGAGGTGTTATTGATTGCTGACCTCAGTGGTTCATCAGAACAAAAGTCTATCATATTTGTTATGGGCAGTGTCCTGCTCCAAATGCTTTATTGATCACTGTCTTTGCTCTCTGCTGGCAGTAAGAATTAACGTCTAAATGTAGTTAATGTACCAAACTGTATCTGAGAGGGAGGGCTTCCTACAGACAGTGGTCAGTGAGTGGCCTCTCAAAATGATCTGTGAACTGTAGGTAAATACTTGATCTGTCCTTCATTTTAAAGTGGCAGTACTTCATATTTCAGTCCCGGTGACACCTTATCAAGTGTTGATGACAGACACCAGGATACGAACACAGAAAAACACACTTGTTATAATCAAATAAGTCTCTGTTGTACATCAATGCAAACATTACAAAGTTTTGCACATTTGTCATCTTCAGCTCTTTGATATCATTTTTAATATTGAAAACATATATACAAATAGGCAAGAACTAAAACACTAATGCCCGGCAAACATATACAGCAAACTCGTAATTAACAACATAATGATGTCGTTTATTTCAAAAATACTATAGGATTGATCAGGTCCTACCCCCTTTTCATGTTTCATCAATAAACGTATTGTTAAACAAAATGGTTAAAGCGTTTTGCCTCAATTTTCACAATACACATCCCGACTAAAATAAATATGAATATTGAAATTAAAACAGGAACACAGGTTATTGTGTGGACATCTGACCGATCCTTTACTCTGCAAGTCACCATTATCTATCTATCTATCTATCTATCTATCTATCTATCTATCTATCTATCTATCTATCTATCTATCTATCTATCTATCTATCTATCTATCTCTCTATCTCTCTATCTCTCTATCTCTCTACCTATCATTTGCGATAGCTACAGTAGTGACTTAACAAACATTTTATTTAGGTTGGAATCAGTGAGATTCTGACCTTTTTTATATTATATATTGTGATTTTATTTCCAACAGATTTCTATTCTCCGATGTTGCCTCTAGCTTGTTTCTTTGCATCCTCTCATGTGTATTTCACGTGTTGTGTTCAGGTACAATCTGCTGTTCTTTGTATCCGGTGGAGGGAAGTTTAACTACCAGGGCACCAAACGCTGGCTGGAAGATAATCTGGATCACACAGGTACTGCTCAGCTCAAACTATGATTACAGAAAGAAATCAAACATATACTTTTTCATGCAGCTGGATTTTTATTGTTTTTTTGTGCTATGGATATGTCATGCATTTTTAAAAGAATACTCAAAATCTGAATTAAATTCAATAATAATAATAATACATTTTATTTTTAGGCGCCTTTCATGACACCCAAGGACACCGTACAATTTGTTAAAAAATAAATAAATAAAACGCTAATAGGCAACAAAACATGATAAAAACACAAACAGGAAATCATGGAGGAGACAGTCAAGTGGACACAAATGAAACATATAATAGGGAGCACTACAGTGAGTAGGCAGATTTGAACAGGTGGGTTTTTAATTGGGATTTGAATATGGTGATTGTGTCTGACTGTCGGATGTGCGGGGGGAGGGAGTTCCAGAGTCTGGGAGCAGTGCAGCTAAAAGCCCGAGCACCCATGGTGACGAGGCGTGGGGTGGGGACGGTTAGCAGACCAGCAGAGGAGGAGCGGAGGGAGCGAGACGGGGTGTACTCCTGAAGAAGGTCAGCCAGATAGGGGGGGGGGGCAGGTTATGTAGGGCTTTGTAAGTGAGCAGTAGGTTTTTGAAGTTGATGCGTGATTGAACGGGGAGCCAGTGGAGTTGGATGAGGATGGGGGTGATGTGTTCTGAGGCCTTGGTGCCGGTGATGATCCGGGCTGCAGAGTTCTTCCCCAAACCAAGCTTAAAAGATAAATAGAGAAATAAATATACACTACAAAGACTTATATTTTAAGGCTTTTTGAAGATAACACTTTATAGTAGTTGTAGAATAGAAGTCCTAGTTGTTTCTCTACTTTAATATTTGGATGTATCTCATTGGTTATTTTCTTCTTGTTCTCATACCCCCCTCTCTTCCTCCCCAGACTCCAGCTTGCTGCAGGACAATGTGGCCTTCGTGCTGTGTTTAGACACTCTGGGGAACGGAGACACTATGCACCTCCACGTGTCCAAACCTCCCAAAGAGGGGTCTCCTCAGTTCACCCTGCTCAAGGAGCTGGAGCTGGTGAGAAGATCCACGCTTTATATCATATTATATTATATTATAACATAACTCTAAACTTTACATATTTCGGAACATTGTAACATCACTATGAAACACTCGCGCTGCTATCGGCTAGCGCTCCAACACATTGTACGTGATGGGCTAAGGGGCGGGACATCTCTAAGCGGTTGACCAATCACAACAGAGCCGGCCAGCTAACCAATCAGAGCAGACTGGGCTCTGGTTTCAGACAGAGGGTGAAAAGAGGTGCTGCAACACAGGCAGTATGAGAAAAATAAAGAGCTTTTTGAACATTAAAGCACAGAGACACGTCACAGGAGAGACACTACATACTGATATACACCTGAACATCAGCAGGAGAGGACTCTTTAAAGTAGAGACACTACATACTGATATACACCTGAACATCAGCAGGAGAGGACTCTTTAAAGTAGAGACACTACATACTGATATACACCTGAACATCAGCAGGAGAGGACTCTTTAAAGTAGAGACACTACATGCTGATATACACCTGAACATCAGCAGGAGAGGACTCTTTAAAGTAGAGACACTACATACTGATATACACCTGAACATCAGCAAGAGAGGACTCTTTAAAGTAGAGACACTACATACTGATATACACCTGAACATCAGCAGGAGAGGACTCTTTAAAGTAGAGACACTACATACTGATATACACCTGAACATCAGCAGGAGAGGACTCTTTAAAGTAGAGACACTACATACTGATATACACCTGAACATCAGCAGGAGAGGACTCTTTAAAGTAGAGACACTACATACGGATATACACCTGAACATCAGCAGGAGAGGACTCTTTAAAGTAGAGACACTACATACTGATATACACCTGAACATCAGCAGGAGAGGACTCTTTAAAGTAGAGACACTACATGCTGATATACACCTGAACATCAGCAGGAGAGGACTCTTTAAAGTAGAGACACTACATACTGATATACACCTGAACATCAGCAGGAGAGGACTCTTTAAAGTAGAGACACTACATACTGATATACACCTGAACATCAGCAGGAGAGGACTCTTTAAAGTAGAGACACTACATACTGATATACACCTGAACATCAGCAGGAGAGGACTCTTTAAAGTAGAGACACTACATACTGATATACACCTGAACATCAGCAGGAGAGGACTCTTTAAAGTATAGACACTACATACTGATATACACCTGAACATCAGCAGGAGAGGACTCTTTAAAGTAGAGACACTACATACTGATATACACCTGAACATCAGCAGGAGAGGACTCTTTAAAGTAGAGACACTACATACTGATATACACCTGAACATCAGCAGGAGAGGACTCTTTAAAGTAGAGACACTACATACTGATATACACCTGAACATCAGCAGGAGAGGACTCTTTAAAGTAGAGACACTACATACTGATATACACCTGAACATCAGCAGGAGAGGACTCTTTAAAGTAGAGACACTACATACTGATATACACCTGAACATCAGCAGAGAGGACTCTTTAAAGTAGAGACACTGCAGGACTCTTATATAATATTAATCATCTGATATGTACAGAGGTGTAACTGTTAGTTGATTACAAGTTAGACATGATGTGTCAAATCAGTTTTTTCTGACCTATTTTTTCAGTTTTAAAATAATTTGTTGTATACCTTTCTTTAAAAAACCCAGACTATTTATTAACTATATCCTTTAATGTTTGATTTTTCCCTCTCATGTCCTCCCAGGTGTCAGAGAGCCAGTTCCCGGACGTGAAGTTCTCGATGGTCCATAAGAAGATCAACCTGGCGGACGACATGCTGGCCTGGGAGCACGAGCGCTTCGGGATCCGCCGCCTGCCGGCCTTCACGCTGTCGCACCTGGCCTCCCACCGCCTGGCGCAGAGAGCCAGCATCATGGACGCCCGGTCAGTGTCCCCCTCCTCTCGCCACGGAGCGGGAGAGCCCCCTGCTGGGTGGGTGCACGTCTCTCTATCCCCCCAAAACAAAAGAGTAGAGTTTAGCTAACGTAGAGACGTTCATTGTACCTCTACCACTGTTAAATGTTCCGTCATGAGAGGGCCGACAAGCCGTGTTTAACTGAGTAACCTTAAACCAGTGTTTCTCAAACTTTTTCATACCAAGGACCACTTAACCAATAAAAAAACACTCGCGGACCACCTAACACTGTCCTGACGTCAGGACGGTGGCGCTACGGATATTGGGCCAACTCCACCAATCAGGAGGAGACAGCCACGGACATTGCCGTTCGAAAGCGCTGGAGACGCTGTAGTACATATGCCAGGCCTGTAGGTGGTGCTGTTCTCACTGAATCTGCCCTTGCAAAAACAGAGCTAACATTTTCAAATTGAGCGAAATGAGGCATGGCTAAAATGCATGATCTGTTTGGTATTTTGAAAAACAAAAAGTATAAATATGCCTTATATAGGTATGGTCCTACACTATATTATTAAAATATAGCATGATAGGTCCACTTTAAATGAATGTATTTATTTCAAATGTGACATTTTACCAATCTACTCACAGACCACTAGGGGGCGCTCACGGACCACACTTTGAGAAGCATTGCCTTAAACCCATTCTTTACAAGCAGTTTGGCTCCTACACCAATATATAATAATACATTGGAGAAAAGTAATAGTTTTTCTGCTCAACGATTTATTTAAGGGTTAAAATAACAGCCGTGTTTTCCTGGGCAGGACTCGATGATGTAACGTTTCCAAGTTTGAGCCACGGGTGTTTTTAAATTAAGAGCTTTCTGAACTCTTTTCTCTCCTCTTTCATCTAATACCTCTCCTTCATCCTACATCTCTGTTTGTTAGAAACCTTTCTGAGTTTCTGTGTTTAATTTCACGCTCTACCGATCAGCTGATTTGACATTTCCTCGTCTTGTGTCTCAGCCTCTCTGTGTCGAGGTGTAATTGGTTCCTCCTCTCCTCTGTGTGTCTCCTCCTCTCCTCTGACTCTCCTCCTCTCTCCTCCTCTCCTCTGACTCTCCTCCTCTCTCTTCCTCTCCTCTGACTCTCTCCTCCTCTCCTCTGACTCTCTCCTCCTCTCCTCTGACTCTCTCCTCGTCTCCTCCTCCGACTCTCTCCTCGTCTCCTCTGACTCTCCTCGTCTCCTCCTCCTCTCTCCTCTGACTCTCTCCTCTCCTCCTCCTCTCCTCCTCCTCCTCCTCCTCCTCTCTCCTCCTCTCCTCTGACTCTCTCCTCCTCTCCTCTGACTCTCTCCTCGTCTCCTCTGACTCTCTCCTCCTCTCCTCTGACTCTCTCCTCGTCTCCTCTGACTCTCTCCTCCTCTCCTCCTCCTCTCTCCTCCTCTCCTCTGACTCTCTCCTCCTCTCCTCTGACTCTCTCCTCTCTGCTCCTCTCCTCTGACTCTCTCCTCCTCTCCTCTGACTCTCTGCTGCTCTCTCTGTGTCTCCAGACCTCACGTAGATGTTCAGAAGCTCAGCAGAAACACAAAGCTGGTAGCAGAGGCGCTCGCCAGAGTCATATACAACCTCACTGAAAAGGTAAAGAAAGAAACGGATGGAAACGTTTATTTACTGCTTTCTGCCTGTGTTGTGACGTGTTGTTGTTGTTTACTCTGCTGCACAGGGCGCTCCTGGAGACCTGCAGATCTTCACTGAACAGATGGTAAGTCTCTAAACTGGGAGGTGTGTGTGTGTGTGTGTGTGTGTGTGTGTGTGTGTGTGTGTGTGTGTGTGTGTGTGTGTGTGTGTGTGTGTGTGTGTGTGTGTGTGTGTGTGTGTGTGTGTGTGTGTGTGTGTGTGTGTGTGTGTGTGTGTGTGGTGTGTGTGTGTGTGTGTGTGTGTGTGTGTGTGTGTGTGTTGTGTGGTGTGTGTGTGTGTGTGTGTGTGTGTGTGTGTGTGTGTGTGTGTGTGTGTGTGTGTGTGTGTGTGTGTGTGTGTGTGTGTGTGTGTGTGTGTGTGTGTGTGACACTGTGTGTTTCCTCCATTGTGTGTGTGGTTGTAACACAGTGTGTGTGTTTCCTCCATTGTGTGTGTGGTTGTAACACAGTGTGTGTGTTTCCTCCATTGTGTGTGTGGTTGTAACACAGTGTGTGTGTTTCCTCCATTGTGTGTGTGGTTGTAACACTGTGTGTTTCCTCCATTGTGTGTGTGGTTGTAACACTGTGTGTTTCCTCCATTGTGTGTGTGGTTGTAACACAGTGTGTGTGTTTCCTCCATTGTAACAGTGTGTGTGTCAGCAGTGCGTTTCCTCCGTTGTAACACAGTGTGTGTGTCAGCAGGTGCAGGACGAGCAGCTCTCGGCGGTCGTTGATTGGCTGACGGCTCAGCCCAGAGCCGCCCAGCTGGTGGACAAAGACAGCAGCGTGGTGTCGACTCTGGAGTATCACATGGGACACTACCTGAAGGACGTGAAGAGGCACTACGTCAGAGCAGACAAGAGGTACACCAGACCAAGCCCCCAGGGAGTGCGCCGGACTCTGTGCCCAACATTCGTAGTGTCCAAACGGCGGTACTGCAACTCCCGTATCAGTCCGTGACGTCACCCGGCCCAAAACAACTTTCCCCATTGACTAACATGGGGAGAGAGAGACGTCGTGAACTATCTTATAGCCCTTATTAGAATCATTCGGTCCTTAAAGTTGTAAAATGCACTAAAAGCTGAATCTAGATTTATTTTCTGTCTCCATTCATTCTACTGAGCCGAGAGTGGGAGCTCCGGGGGCGGGGCTTAAGGGGCGCATGCTCTGTGAGCGCACATACGGGTTCTTCTGCTCTGACAGCAAGGCATGATGGGTAATCTGTGACGTTTCGCTCTCTCAAAAGTTGGGCCATTTTGACTTCATGCGCCAATGAGCAGCTCTCATAGGAAAGAACGAGACCCCGCCTCCCACGCTGTATCCAGTTCTTATTACACATCCATGCACCAGACAGACAACAGGGACACGAAGCCCTGACACACTTCCTGTTCCCCCGTCTGGGAGTCGGGGTCTTTGAGTGACGCTTTCCTCTCTGTCGTCCTCAGGGATCCAGAGTTTGTTTTCTACGATCAGCTGAAGCAGACGATGAACGCATACAGGTAACAAGCTCCTCCTCCTCTTCATCCTCCTCCTCCTCTTCCTCCTCCTCCTCTCTCATGTTTTATTTAAGTTCTTCCTCAGAGCTTTACTCCTCCCAGCTGTGTGTGAATCCTCATCTGCATCATTTTGGAACAAGGTTAAATGTGATGTGTTGTCTCATCGTGTGGTCCTGAGAGCCCAGGATAGAATCAAGAGAGGAATCGCATACATTTCCCACGCACAGTGCTGAGGGTTTACTTTAAATTGAATGACCTAGTACACACGTGTCAAACTCAAGGCCCGGGGGCCAAATCAGGCCCTTGGTGGATTTAATTTCGGCCCGCAGGATAATTTCTAATTACTATTAGATCTGGCCCACCGGTATATTGCACGCACACCTTCACTCCATCCTGAGGGTCTCCTCAGCTCAGAGCCTGACCCCAAACATTGATGAACTTGCACCCAAGATGAGATGCCAAGTATCTGGCTTGAACTAGCATCACAGAGCAGCACACTGAGTTTAATGGATGTTTCCTTCTGCACTTTTTCTCTCACGACAACAGGGCATGTTTGGTTTGTTCTTTGAGGGAAATAGTTTTGTTGAAGCTGTTGTTGGCCTGTGGAGAAATGTGATCATAAGAAATGACTCTGGAAAAGCTGCAGATAGAGACATAAGAAATGAATGCAACTGATTATTTAATGTTTAATGTTGTTTTTATAGGCAATCATTTAAGCTTTGTTAGTTCCAGGTTTAATATGTGCAATAAGTTCATTTCAATAAGTTCTGCAATAAACATTGAACCAGTCCGGCCCTCGACTAGTACCCATTTTTTTATTTTGGCCCACTGTGTATTTGAGTTTGACCCCTCTGATCTAGATGATGTTTTTTTTTAATGTTTATCCTTTAATAATCCCCTCATTCCTCTCCTCCTCTCAGAGTGAAGCCGGCCATCTTCGACCTGCTGCTGGCCGTCTGCATCTCAGGCTATTTAGGAGTGATGTACCTCGCCATCCAGGTACAAGTTACTATTTTCTGTAACCTCTTGTCAGACACGTTACGTTACATATCTGTGTTATTCAGAGAGGGCAAAAGTACACACATCCTTTACTCAAGTAGAAGTACAGATACTCATGTTTAAAAATACTCTGGTAGAAGTACTGACTAAAGGTTTGAGTAAAGGTTGCTTAGAGATTCGGGGTGTTACTCAATGTCGAGTACGCTTGCTTGGTAGCACATGTCTTCCGAGTCACTTGCTTCAGAAGCGAGTCAAGAATACTTCCTGGCATTCGGAAAACGAAAGAGTGGAACAGGCTAGCAAGTGTGCAGGTGTGTGTCATATGATAGGCCCCGCCTTACATCTTCCGCCACAGATTTGGGGAAATTGGTCCGTGCGCAAAGCATTGTGGGGATTTTAAGACCGCGGAGTCTACTCATGTGCAGCCTCGATATTTCTCCAAACGGAGTACGCCGGGCTCGGTAGATTTCCAAGTATGCTGGAGATTGGAACAGTCCTTTGGCGGCACTCGATGACGTAGTATGCTTGAAATAGTGGCTCTGGAGCAGCTTTACTCGACATTGAGAAACACCCTCTGTGTAAAAAGCTTAGTAGGAATACTTTTATAATAATAATGAATAAGGGCAAAATAATGAATAACTTCTGCATTTAAATTGACTTATTTGGTACTTCCTCATGTCTGATAAGGTAAGCACACAATGTACAACTTTATTTTGTATTACAGCTGATTTTTATTCCTTATTTCATTCCATTGCAAAGTAAATACTGTTATATTTTCCTATGTGTGACCCGCTCTATCGAAATCAGTCGAAGTCGCAACGGCTCATTTCAAAATAAACGTGGATTTGCGTAAAAAAATAGTTTTTCGGGGTTCGGGTGTTTTGTTTGATTTTATATAAACAAAGTCTTGGCTTTCAGAATATGAAACTTTTATTACGATAAATACATGTTTGAAGCTTGTAAAGGGAAGAAGACATCTCTCACTCGCACCTTGCTGTTCCGCAGAGCAGCCCCCCCTCCCTCCCGCTTACATTATGAATGTAAGGCGTATAGTAATCATAGATAACACGGCAGGGTCCGTTACAGTTTGTTTTCATCTGATTTCAATTAAACAAAGTCTTGGCTTTCCGAATATTAAACTTGTTTCGGCAAATTCAGATGATAAATACAACTTTGAAGCTTCAGCATAATTACAAGCGGAGAACGGAGTAACTTGACGTCACAGCAGGCGTAACAACAGCCGGTGTTTCTCGTGAGGGTTTTCCCCGGGAAACAAACACAATACACACAAACGCAAAAATACACTAACACACGTATACACACACACACACACACATACACTCACATACTCGCAAGCTTCCCCCAGACCAGTAATCCAAACGAAAATATCTTCCCTCTGTAGTATTTTGATCATTTGCTAATAACCAATCAGATCGATGGATTCCAGAGAAGAGGAAACTTTGAAGGCCTTTTTCTCAAAGTGATGACTCGGTGACAGTCATTATATAATGTGACATATTTTGCTTAATATTTGGAGTACAACAACAATCCTGATATCATTAGAAAGCTAGGAATCTCCTCTTTCCAACAGTGTATACAACTCAAAATGTGTCTTCGGGTCAATGCGACTGATTTCGATGGAGCAGGTCACATATATGTTTAATTATTTTAAATATCTTTCTAGTTCTCTACCTGTGTTTTTAATTCTTGTTTTTGTGCACCACGACACCAAGTCCAACGTGTAAACCCACCTGGTGATAAACCTGATTCTGATTGATTCTATAAATATATATTCTCTCCTATCTCTCTCTCTATCTATCTCTCTAGGGAGATATTATTTCCTCTCTCTCTGTGAGAGATATCTATATATCTATTATAGATATATAGATCTCTAGCTATTAGAGAGCTGGAGATCTCGGGATAGGGGGGAGAATTGATTCTGATAGGCGGGAGAGATTCGCTTGTCTCTATATATAGTGATGATAATCTCTGCTCATATAGGTATAAATCTGTCTATCATCCTCTCTCTCTCTCTCTCTCTCTCTCTCTCTCTCTCTCTTCTCTCGCTCTCTCTCTCTCTCTCTCTCTCTCTCTCTCTTTCTCTCTCTCTCTCTCTCTCTCTCTCTCTCCTCCAGAACTTCGGGCTCCTGTACAGCGTCGCCCGCAGAGTCACGCAGCCCAAAGTGAAATCCCACTAAAGTACAAGTTCCACATCTCTCTCTCCATCTTCTTCAAATCCAAGAACTTGTGTGAAAGCTGGGCCGAGCCGAGACGAACCGACGGTTTTCAAAACCCAGCAGAATATTTTTCGTTTCCTTCATCCATAAACTATGATGTCAGATTGAACCGCTGCCAATTCCTCCATTTCGTCTCTCCGGACCGGAACAATCAGGAATCATTTCTCTCACACACACGCACTCAGAAATATTTCCAGTGAGAGATGTAGACAGGATTCAGTTTGAAGTCGCTCTGCAGAAACTGAACGCTGAGTTTAACCCAGAAAATAATTAAGGACAGATTCACATTGTTTAAATCTGCTTAAATACGATACTCACACTCCCATAAAGACATTTAAACAGTTATCAGTCGGTGTCATTATTATTATTTATTTTCATACTGACTGTGTTTAAGTCACATTGTAGAGAGGAAACAACTTTTCTACGTGCAGCGGTAGATTATATTCGAGTCTTTTTGGGTCGTAATTCTCAGTTTTTTCATAATAAAGACTTAAAATTAACTCATTTTAGTTTCTGGTGAATTTAGAAAAGTCATTTTGCATACAAAGGACTGGATTATGTTTCCCATTTCTTTAGGGCTGCAATCTTACACATTTAACTAACATTAACGAACGTTTAGACTTAGAAAAAGTTAGAAAAACTGGATACAAATTCACATTAAATTCCAGGATGATGTCTTCAAACTACCTTTTTTTGTCCGACTCGGAAACAAATGACTAAAATATAATTTCTAATATATAAAACATTTAATAAGGCATAGAAAATACTTCAAATGTTTGGCGTTTGTACAAAAGAAAAGTATACAGCGATGATGAAAGCTTAAAAATGCCATATATGGGCTTGTGAGTATTGTGTTGAGGAAAATCTGAGTTTGTCCTTTTTGAAGTGAAAATGAGACAAAAATCAACGACTTGTCAAAACAAAATGTGAAGTAGTGATTAGATGATCCTGATTAAATTGCCTTTGTAGTGAAATAATGAAAAGCAACATTCGATTGCCAAATAATTACTGTTTGCATTAACCCCCCCCCTTTAATAATATCTAACGTTAGGGACGTTTTTCCACTTTTTGTGCCCCGATTTTCCTGTAATGTTTGTTTCTGTGACTTGATTTTTTTACTGCTCAAGTCTTTTTTTTAATGAATAAAACAAGTCATGCTGGGAAACGCTGAGTCATGTTAAAGCTGGTGTTAGAATACAATCAGAGCGACGTGTAAAGACGCGATAACGCCGCCTCTTTACCCCTTTTTTATCTGAGAGAAACACCTTATGAGTTTGTGACTTTAGCGATAATCTGATCTGAGATTTTTTAAGCCGTGTTAAGATTTTGTCGCTGCAGTATTTATGTTAAAATTGGAAGAAATGGTGACAGATATTGGTCCTATCAAAACGAGTGTGTGTAGAATGAGTACTGCAGTGACTCCCGATGTTTCTCTACCTTGTTGTGGGTGATTTTTTTTGTTTTTTGTATTTTCCACCGCGTGACCCTTTTTTTACCGACTCGAGGGAAATGCTGCGTGCTTGGTACATATGAATTTTTAATTTATTGAAGCAGTTATTTTTTCATTTGTGCACTGAACCCTTCTCCGCTCACACTTGATCTCTGCAATGAAAAGTTGTGATTAAAATAAAAGAAATGTATAAAAAAAACACACACAAAGCTGCTTTTCTTTCGTTTACTGACATGTTTTATTTTATGGGAGAAAATGAAATGATAACATTGGCTGAATGGTATTAAAATTGCATTACAAAAGAGCATGTTTTTATCAATTCAGATTTAAAAAGTGGTCAGATTTCCTTAAAACAAACAAAGAAAGTGTAATTTGTTTATCATACAGTGAATAGTGATCCACTTAAACCCACTTGTATTTACTGATTCTTCCCACAAAGTCACACAAATCCCCCCCAAATTCTCCCCTTCCCTTTTTCTAATCTTCCTATTGAACAATAAAAATAATACTAATAAATTACAGTGCAATTTATAAGAAATACCTGCAGGGCGTTTTCTGCCCGTCGTTCTCTAAGCGCTTCGTCTCGTCAGCTCCCACAAACGCCCGACAAATTATTTTAGGTGGACGTTTGGCACAAATAAAACACTCGCAGGGACAATGTGTCAAAGGCGACATTCAGACAGACAACTCGTACAGACGTCATATCTACCAAGAAACATCGAAAAAAGTCAAAATCACTCTTTGTTGTCACTTCCTGATCTTAAAATAAGAAACAATTGGTAAAATGTCACTTTTTTTTTGGTCTAATTTGCTTTTATAACATGTCATCTTTCAGACTAGTGGAATGAAAACAACCAGATTTCAAATTAAGGTGTTTATTTCACTTTTAATTTGACTCAAAACTTGTGTTCATTTTGCACTAAAGTTCTTCATGAAATGAGGAATTCTCCCTTAATGTGTAGAAACAGGGTTTAAACATCAAATATCCCACAAGTTGTCGGTCTGAACTGAGCTTCACATGCAATATTAAGAACATTTAAATAAGAATAATCCAATTAAATACAGAAAGATAAATAAATGATCAATTTAAAAGAAAATGTTCCTTTTATTTTTGATTTTCCTGCAGGCCTTGTTGCCAGAAATGACATTTCTTAACTTAAATCATGATTTGTTCCTAACAAACACTTTAGGTTCCTAACGGTACGGACGTTTCTGGCTGAAAATCCTGAAAATAAATCGTCTTTTGTGGTGCGTAGGGGTGGGGGACGTGTATGAAATTCATTTTTTTAAATCATACTGACATGTAAAGTTAAAGAACATTAAATTAACTGTCATCCAACGCACATCTGGTAGTTGCTGCAGATGTATTTGGAGTAATCTATCAAAGTAAAAATCATTATTTAAGGTTTTAAGATGCAAAATAAACACATTTTAAACCGTCTGATGGTGGTGCGTTTGTGTCCCCTTAAGACTGTAGGAATGTTTTTATTTTGTAAATACCAGACTTCAGGGATGAGACACACCTAATCCACATGTTGGGTGTTTGTGGGTTTACTGCAAACTTCACTTCCTGTCACGAAAAAGAACAAGAAACCCCGAATGTGTTTCAGTCTCACTTCCTGTCTGACACTACACATGTTGGGTAAGAACCGTGTTTTCTACAGTACAGCTGAGCCAGATCACAACTGGAATACTAACAGTGCTCTCAGAGGGAATAAAACAGCAGCAATTCAAAAAACAAAACAAATGACTACAGAAATAAAATATAAAATTAGTTGTAACCCCGCCCCTCACCATGATGTTTCGGGGGGGGGGGGGGGGTTGTAAATGTGGAAGACAGACAGAAAGCATCTGCGGCTCCAGCAGCACAAGCCCGCCGTTCATCCAACAACAAGCTGGAATTTGATCGAGAGGAAGTGTAGAAAATATCCCTTTCAAAATATAACGGGTGCAGCAGCAGCAGCGTGCACTCACACAGAAGAATTACAGAGAACAGTCTGATTTATGGGACACAATCATCCCATCATTTGTGTCTGAAATATATATTAAAATGTGTGTTTTTAAATGCCAAATTGAGGCTCATCACACACCTGTTTTCATGTATTAGTCAGTAGGGCTGGATAATATAAATCACTATATCATGATAAGAGACTAGATATTTAATATATTTAATAGTTTCATTAGTTTTTACAGATGACTTTAAAAATCTTCCCATATGTGGATTTTTAGGACAAAATTATCCTTATTTGTGCCTGATATATATTTTTTAAATATGCATTATTAAATAACATATTGAGGATAATCACACACTGTTATATCACACATATATTACCTTAGATTTGAGATATTGTAATTGTTGTATCTCTGGTTTTAAATGCTGCATTACAGGAGATATTGCATTGTGCTGTTGAGTGATATTGATGAAAAAAACATTAAAGTAAACCAGTAGGGGGTCTTTCACTGTATAATTGAATAGTTTAAAAACTAAAAAAGTACAGATAAAGGAGTTCTTTTAAACCAAAAAGGTCCAAAGCCTTTTTTTTCAGAAATGTATTTTCTCAGATTAAACCCCTTCGAGATAAATCCCCTCGTTTCCAAACGTGTCCCAAACACACTTTTATAGTAACTGCCTCTTCCAATCAAGTCCTTAATTCCACATATGGTATAATTTGACTAGTTTCATATCGTCCAGCCCTATCTATAGTTCTTCGTGTCGAGTGGTCGCTGCTGCTTCAAAGAAAGATCACTGTTCAGTTTTTTAGACATTAATAAAGATATGATTACATAGCGAGAGGGTTTTTTTTCTTCATTGTTTGTGAGATAATATTTCTCAAAAATCATTCGATGTCATGCATTCCTGAATAATGTGTGCATACATAATGTTTATTTATTCTTTTATATCATACTGATCTTTATCTTTACACAAGTTTTTTTGGCTATTCTTCCAATTTTTCTGTAAATAGCCGCCCGCCATAAATTAAATCCGTTTTGTTTCAAACAAATCTAAACGATGCGGATAAGTCCCCGTCAATCAATTCTAGCTCTTTGCCGTCATTAAACCAGCAAGCGGCTTGTTTGCCTTCATGTCAGTGCAGACGCTCTGCCACACACACACACACACACGTAGGAACAATACAAATAAAACAATAAAAAGCTTTTCCCGTACTTTAAATACTTCCAAAGCCGGTTGATCGTCAGCAAAAAGAGATAAGAGGAACTGAGAGGTGAAATGTTGTGAAAGAGTTTATCAGCTACATCCATCCTGAAACACCTAACACACACACACACACACACACACACACACACACACACACACACACACACACACACACACACACACACACACTCTCTAATGTGGCGTTTTAATTCAGAGTAATGGACGCCACCGCTGACTTGTGCGATGATATGAAAATCAATACGTGTGGTTTCATCACTGCTGCAGATGTGAAATATGGAGGTGAGAAAAAACGTGATATTTCTCGTTTGAATTTGGATTTTTTTTTTAGCCTTTTCTCTTCACGTAAGAGAAGATGGACGGAGGATTAATTATTCCACTCACGGCAAACACAGCCCTAAAAGAATCTCGAGTATTTTCCGTTTTTTTTTTAAATAAACTTTTCCCACTTCTGACGCTCGTGATGTTTCAACATTTCTACTGAATCTATCAAATGTAAAAGTTAGCAACAATAGGACAAAAAGTCAGCTGGAATAACATTCACAGTGCTCTAATAAAAACAAACGACAGCGATGAAATGAAATGTTCCTAAACAAATAAAAAGAGTAGAAACTCCTCGCAGCCTGATCTCACTTCCTGTCTGCAGTGCAGCGAGCCGCCTGGTGGGGGCGCTGTTATAGATGCTTCTCTTTGGTGACCCCGTTCTGCACGTGCTTCCTGTGGGACACAAACAAGAAAACACATTGAATGACTTTTAATTCAATCTAAGTCTGTCTAAGGGTGGGTTTTACCATAACCTTTAAACCTGAATACAACCTGAGATTGTTTATTTGTATGTTTCTTAAATATCTTGTATTTAAATACACTATAGCACTATATCTTAATGCTTTGAATGATTTTTGTAAAGGACTTTGAATAGAGTGGCGAAGTCCCTCCCCTTCCGGTGGACCTCCATGGGACCTTATTTCGGAAAAATTATGTATTGAAGTCAATGGAGAGAGAAAGATTATCTTTCGATTCCGTTTGAATTGTGCCACGAATTACACATATGATGTTTGTCAATTTAAAAGATAATTTTGCAAGTCAAAAAAAAAAAAATGTGTCGTAAAACTGTGAAGTAACACTTTTGTTTGTGTGAAACGCTCAATGAACTACTTCTCTGGTCAACAACACACGTCACCAAGATGGCCGTCACTACTGTCTTGTCAACAAAACGATTGACTATCCTCACTATCACCACAATGAAACACGTCCTGAAGAAAGTCATGCAAAGCTGCCTGCCTGCCTTCCTTTGATTCTCTCTGAACTGCCTGGTCGTTTTAATGTTTAATGTCAACCATTTGTGCAGATAGCATGAAGTAGAGAAGATCGCCGATGCTAACGTTAGCGTTAGCATTTCTCCCCCGGGCTTAAATGGTGTATTATAGAATGATCACACCGGTGACAGTACTATTCAAAGGGTTCACGAAATATGACTACTACTCTTACTGTTTAACATTTTGGGTTACTTAATGTTACTTCATGTTAAGGCTAATAAAAATGACAAGGCTGTAATGCTAACTAACGTGCTAGCTAGGTAGCTAACTTGATCAAGCCACTCCTGGTCCTTTCATCAGACGGGAAGCAAAAGAACGAGCAAGACCCATTGCTGGTATAATAACAACCTGGTACTAAGCACACAGGCATCTTGTTAAAGTTATCTTATCTTAGCCAGCGCCATATAGATAGATTATATCTATATTGCGCTGATCTTAGGTATCTGAATGGTGGAGGAAAACAATTGTGACATCACTTACGCGACTCTGGGATTTGTAGTCTTTCTAGTTACGTATTTTTCATAGTCTTATATTTCAACAGTTTTACGACAAACTGTGACTTTTTTTGACATGGAAATTATTTTTTAAATTGACAAACATCAGATGTGTAATTCGTGGCACAATTCAAACAGGATCGAAAGATAATCTTTCTCTCGCCATTGACTTCAATGCATAACTTTTTGTGATATCTATTAGCTTTTCCCTCTATACCCCTGCAGTGTATTGCTGAATGTGTGTCAGGGAGTATAAGCTATGCTTAGCATCTGTTAGCAACTCTCTATCTATTCTATTAGCAGGTGTTATTATCTATTAGCAGGTGTTATTATGTTAGCACTAGTTAGCAGCTCTCAGCATGGGTTATTATCTGTTAGCATGTGTTATTATCTGTTAGCAGCTCTTAGCATGGGTTATTATCTGTTAGCAGGTGTTAGCAGCTCTTAGCATCTGTTATTATCTGTTAGCAGGTGTTAGCATCTGTCAGCACTAGTTAGCAGCCCTTAGCATCTGTTATTATCTGTTAGCAGCTCTTAGCATGGGTTATTATCTGTTAGCAGCTCTTAGCATGGGTTATTATCTGTTAGCAGGTGTTAGCATCTGTCAGCACTAGTTAGCAGCTCTTAGCATCTGTTATTATCTGTTAGCAGCTCTTAGCATCTGTTAGAATCTATTAGCAGGTGTTATTATCTGTTAGCACTAGTTAGCGGCTCTTAGCATGTGTTATTATCTGTTAGCAGCTCTTAGCATGGGTTATTATCTGATAGCAGCTCTTAGCATGGGTTATTATCTGTTAGCAGCTCTTAGCATGGGTTATTATGTGTTAGCAGGTGTTAGCATCTGTCAGCACTAGTTAGCAGCTCTTAGCATCTGTTAGAATCTATTAGCAGGTGTTATTATCTGTTAGCACTAGTTAGCGGCTCTTAGCATGGGTTATTATCTGTTAGCAGCTCTTAGCATGGGTTATTATCTGATAGCAGCTCTTAGCATGTGTTATTATCTGTTAGCAGGTGTTCAGGGAGTATCAGCAGGTGAAGGCCGGAAGATAAGGAGCTCCACACCTCACATGTTCAGCTCTTTGATCTCTACCTGAGGAGGATTACACTATCAGAGAGCAGCAGATATCTCTGAGCCAGGAGGAGGCTCCACTCTCTGTTCCTCTACTCTTACACTCAGGGGAACGCTGAACAACCACTGAAATTAAATATAAACTATACAGTATCTATTGAACAACAAGAGACAGAACTGCTCTGTGTAACCCTGACTCATTACTTATCATGGTCTCAACAAATGGAAGGGGAGAGACAGACTTCCAGAGATCCACCTGTGCTTTGTTGAATTTAGATTTGAAGGGAAAGGTTTGTATCTGTGTTTTTCTGTGTGAATCCGTATATATGAGGCAGAGTGTCAGAGATATTGATCAGTTGAGGGACAGCTGAGGTCAGGTGAGGCGTCTCCTCAGATAAACAGAAGAATCCATCAGTTCAGATACACAGCTAACAGATTACATTCAGTCCAGCTAGCATGCTCCTGTCTAAAGCTCACTGTTGCAAAAGGCTCAACACTGATGTCAACATATGAGAGAGCTGTACCATCACTATGGTTTCTTTTGAACAAACAATTCGCAAATCTCCATATTTGTAATAAGCCCGTCAGATCAGAGTATTATTAGTGTTGTTTACCCCGTCGGATCAGAGTATTATTAGTGTTGTTTACCCCGTCGGATCAGAGTATTATTAGTGTTGTTTACCCCGTCGGATCAGAGTATTATTAGTGTTGTTTACCCCGTCGGATCAGAGTATTATTAGTGTTGTTTACCCCGTCGGATCAGAGTATTATTAGTGTTGTTTACCCCGTCGGATCAGAGTATTATTATTGTTGTTTACCCCGTCGGATCAGAGTATTATTAGTGTTGTTTACCCCGTCGGATCAGAGTATTATTATTGTTCTTTACCCCGTCGGATCAGAATATTATTAGTGTTGTTTACCCCATCAGATCAGAGTATTATTAGTGTTGTTTACCCCGTCGGATCAGAGTATTATTAGTGTTGTTTACCCCGTCGGATCAGAGTATTATTAGTGTTGTTTACCCCGTCGGATCAGAGTATTATTAGTGTTGTTAACCCCGTCAGATCAGAGTATTATTAGTGTTGTTTACCCCGTCAGATCAGAGTATTATTAGTGTTGTTTACCCCGTCGGATCAGAGTATTATTATTGTTGTTTACCCCGGTGCAGCGTTGTGATGTCCAGCATCATCCTGCTTGTTGTTCTTTTCTCTGAGCACCGCGCGGCCGCCCTCCTCCTCCTCGTACTCTCTGACGTCGTTCACCTCCTTCACCTTCAGCACCTTCACCACGAACACCACAATGAACTGCACACACGCAGATGTCACACAGAGGTCACACAGAGGTCAGTGTTGTTGCAGAAGTTTAGACAACACAAACATCAGGCGTCCTTCACAAACCAAAGCACTGGTGCAGTTTTCATTCACTTACAATAATATCTTTCTACGATTTCTAATATTTTTCAATAATTGTTTTTACTAGTTAACCAAGGAATATGGTCTTTTAAAAGTTACATATGAGTCTACATATGTCTAGACCTATGGGATAAATTAGAAAATAAATAAACACTATACCAACACACACATGCCTATTTTTGCTTTTCTGACTAATCTATGTGTGTGCAAATGACCCTTCAGCTTCATGCTTTTTATAGTAAATGAACTAGTGTGTGTGTGCAGATGACCCTTCAGCTTCATGCTTGTTATAGTAAATGAACGTGTGTGTGTGTGTGTGTGTGCTCACCAGGAACCAGTAGATGTTCATGAGCAGCAGCGTGAACAGGAGTGTGTTGAAGAAGAAGTAGAAGGGGATGTTGGGCACGGACTGCAGGCTGGACACGCAGGTGGCGTACAGGACTTTGAGAGGGAACCAGTACAGGCGGAACCAGAACCTGAAACACAGGGAACAGAAACATCAATTCACTTCTGTCCGTCTGCAGTAAGGAGGGGAAAGGAAACAGAGGGAAGCTGCCAATAATTCAAAAATAAACCAGAGACATTGAGCATTGTAGCGCTAATGAATTCAACTATTTTATTTAACTTAATCCTTAATTACGCTGCTATTGTCAGTCTTGCACTAATGTACATTCTCAAAGATATTGAAGTGACTGTTATTTTGTATATATTGATTGTTGTGCTTTTATTTAGGTCTTAATGTGTGTATGTGTATAAATGTGTCTTGATTGTGTATATATAGGTATATACATATTTGCATACATATTTTTATATATATTTGTATTTTTATATTCGGGATTGTGGGAAACGGTATTTCGATCTCTCTGTCTGTACACACAAACTGGAAGATTGACAATAAAGTTGACTTTGACTTGTCCTGTGTCAAACATCCTTGTTATTTTGTATCATATTTAGACAACATTAGTTTTTTTTTGCTGACTATAAGTCTAGGCATTTAATTTTAATCAACCCCAACTATGTACAGCTTTAGTCAATACCGACTGTTGACTTTTTTAGCAACCAATCAATCTAATCTAGCCAAAACATGACCAGATTATTTCAGAGCCCTGTTGTTGTGTCCTCCTGAACTGTGCCGTCCTGATATAGATTAAACACATGGTTTCTTTCTGTCAACAAAAGACACAGCTTTTTAAAATGTTTTAAATAACATTTTAGTTTCTACTTTATTCTTAAATAATATTACATGTTGATATAGACACTGTGATCGCGTCAATTGTGTTGACAATCACCAATCAATTCTTCAAACACTGAAAGAAATCCTAACTGGGAGAAATGTAATGCTTCTTCAAAATGCCACCAACTCTGTCTCTAGTCATTTCTTTGATAGAGAAGCCCCGACCAGCAAGAAACAATATATTATAGGTCCCCTATCATACTGTTTTTCATCAATATATTATAGGTCTCAGATATATACAGAACATGTCTCTGAAGTGTTTTAAAACACCAAACAGATCATTGCAGCATCCCATAATCCCCTCTGTTTCAGCCCTGTTTCAAAAGTGCTGATTCTCTGTCTGTTACTTTAGATGAAAATAAGGAGCCCCTCCCCACGCCCCTCTGAGAGATATTTGGTTAAAAAGAACACAATGGTGCTCTAGGAGGAGATTCAGGTGATAAGGTGGGGCGGGGGGGTTACCTTGGTTGCTGATTGGCTAATGGTTACACAAGACAAAACATCGTTATGACATCATAAAGTGGCCAAATCTGATCAGCTCATTTTCAGACAGGTTTTTATATAATGGATCAGGACAAAAAGAGAGAGAATCTTTGTTCCTGAAACTTTCAGAGTCTCTTTACACAGAGGGGACCACATGTTGATAGAGATGAGAAGAGGGGACACTTTGATGTGAAGAATAGAAGAGGGGACACATGTTGATGTAGAAGAGACATGAAGAAGAGGGGACACATGTTTGATGTAGAAGAGACATGAAGAAGAGGGGACACATGTTGATTGTTAGAAGAGACATGAGAAGAGGGGACACATGTTGATGTAGAAGAGACATGAAGAAGAGGGGACACATGTTGATGTAGAAGAGACATGAAGAAGATGGGGACACCGTGTGATGTAGAAGAGACATGAAGAAGAGGGGACACATGTTGATGTAGAAGAGACATGAAGAAGAGGGGACACATGTTGATGTAGAAGAGACATGAAGAAGAGGGGACACATGTTGATGTAGAAGAGACATGAAGAAGAGGGGACACATGTTGATGTAGAAGAGACATGAAGAAGAGGGGACACATGTTGATGTAGAAGAGACGTGAACAAGTGGATTTTGCATAATAGGTGACCTTTAAATGGACCCTGGTGTGTGGAGCCTCACCAGGTGATGCTGAAGCTGACGGACCCCATGTTGGACAGCACGTCGTTGAGCAGGAAGTACCCCCCCCCTCTGCACTTCAGGTACACGTTGAGCTTGGTGAACTCCAGCTGGATGTCGTTGATGTCGTGCAGGAACAACACCAGGATCCCCACGTTGTGATATCTAACAGGAAGAGAGACACACGGTACAGGAAAGGGTATATTTCAGAAATTGTTATACTTTACTGTCATCAATTCTGACATTTCTCCTGCATCACAGCAGCTCCATTTGCAACATTAACAAAGACAACAATAACGGACCGTCCACACAGCAGCGTTAAAAAAATCTTGGAGGTGGGCGTATCTGAAGCTTGGGGATTTTTTGCGAGCAACGTGACCAACAACCAATCACATGAATCTCCCACCCCCGACATACGAAGCAAAAAAGTTTGAAGTAAACTGGATATAAACTCCCCAAACAGGCGAAAACCTACCACTGTCTCTGCCACCTCCCTCCATGCCTGGCTCCTCCGGTTTGTATCCCGGTAGATAAATAGGGACTGGTCATAAAGCACCGGGTGATTGATTCGCTACCGCTAATTTCTCCTCCATTTTTTGGAATATGAGGAAATGTCTCTCCCAGCATACACGCCGTTTGATTGGCTAGCGCTTGAACTGTCAGATTTGCGTACACAGGATTTGATTGGCTGACGCTTCCACCTCAGCTTCAAAAGTTGAACATTGCTCAACTTTGAATCCTTAAAATCCTGAAAATCTCCGCTCGCCTGCCCACAATGCAGTTCGGCGAAAAGTGAGGGAAAGTGACGTCACCCCATTCAAAGTGAATGGGCAGAAGCGTTTCAAGATTTTTTTAACGCTGCTGTGTGGACGGGCCGTAAGACATATCTGAGTAGATGTGTTTTAAGGCTTACTGTATCAGACACACTGTTGGGAAAATACTGAATGTCCTCTTCCAATATGAGAGTACACATGATAACAAAGGTATCCCAACTGTAGCTGTGTTCATGACAGGATGTATGATTACCTAGAAGAGCATCAGGACTGTTTTAGGCATATGATAGCTATGTGATTAACATGATGATTCAGCCTCTATGGAGAGAGACATATGACAAGCATGATCATTTCTGACGTGGAGCTAATCTGAAGTAAACATTGAATACTGCTTTATATTCCTCCATCTTGTGACTGTGTAACTCCCTCTCTTGGATATCAGCATGTGAAGGACACTGTTCAGGAACTAGTTGATGCTCTGTATGTGATGACTACTTCCATTCTGGAGAGGATCAGAAATACATGGATCCTGAGATTGAAGCTCAAGCCGGTGACCAGTGAGATTTTCCTAACAGCCACACATTAAGGCGGCCTGCAGTACCTGAAGGCGTAGGAGAAGCAGATGAGAGCCAGAGTGATGATGTGATGGACCACCATGACGGCAGAGTCCTTCCTCCAGGCGTCCATGTAGACCGTGGCGTAGATGGAGTGTCCGTAGAAGCTGCCCTGGATCAGGTAGGCGATGGCGATGTCTGCAGGCACTGACATCCCACTCTGCCAGTCTGAGGACACATTCAAACACAGACTGTGGGTGCTTTTAAAAAGGGCCTAAAAATGCATCTTTTTAGAATAGCCTTTTACTAGATTTTTAAAACCCCCACTTGTTGCCATGCCGGCGTAAACGTCGCTGCTTTTATTTCGTTGTTTTATTTGTTTTTGTTATTTTGGTTCAACTATTTTGAGTTTTGTTTACTCAAATGAAAAGTGCACTTGTAAACAAAATTAATTATTATTATTATTAAATATACTCAATACAGGAAGACACTGACATGGGGTTTCAGATTGAAAGAAACAGCTTGATGAGAAGTGGGAAAACGTGTTATTATTTAGGAGCAGAAGCAGTGACGACAACTGAGGAACTGTTGGAATAAAAGGGCTTTTTAAATTGTATTATTGTCTATAAATATATCTTGTGTATTTGTGTTCATTTTATGTGTGTGTGTGAGTATATGCACAACTGTTGGTTTGACAATGTAAAGATTAAAACCAATAAATGAAAAGAAAAAAATCAACTCTTTAAATTAATTTAACTTGTCATGAACTGTCGAGTTAATCAATAAAACATTTTATGTATAGCAGATTTCAAACACTTCACTTCACAAAATCCTGGTTGATGCACCCGGCCAGATGTTACAAATAGTAATGTGTTGATATAATTAATAGTTTAAAATAAACTGTTTAAGTTAAATGATGATAAAACAAAATGGAATCAAACTAATAATAATGATAGAAATAGGTATGAATAATCAAACCACAACATTGACATGACATGATTTCATTAACACCTGTTATTATATGTGATGTCCTCTCGTCTATAGATGGCACTACAGCGACATGATACATTTGAATAGCCATTGAATTTACAGTGACAAGATTACAACTTTTCAAAAGATATCTCTGAAGTCCGAAGAACGGCCATTCATGCATTTTGAGACAGATCTGAAGCCAGATGCAGATTAGAAATGAAACATGCTGTATTATTAAAACACATGTAGAGAGCTGTGCTGTGGCGCATTTCCACTGCAGCGTGGTTTAAGCGTGCCGTGCCGTGCCCGTTTTTGGTTGCGTTTCCACTAGGCGTAGTTCCGGCTAGCGGGTACTTTTTCACAGTTTTCTGGCTCTCCAAAATCGAGGTTCTTTCCGGGCCAACAACCGGGCTGAGTATGCTAAACTAGTGAGAGAATTGCTGGCACTACAACAAAATGAACATATTTGACCGTGATTTAATTGTAATACACGTTTCAAAATGATGCCGAAGTAACAACATACTGATACCGGTTAGTAAAAACCATGAATTAATGCTTTGACAAGTCTGCAGACAGACGGCAGGCGAAAAACCTTTTAAAATGCGTGTTTTCTAAATGGAGATTGGCTAAGCTAACGCAGTATATGCTCCGACCGTCCACACTCACAACAACGGCCTATACAGACATAAATAAACCAGCGACTGTATTCGCCATGACACAGGCAGTCTGTGGTTTGTACTTGTTTAACTTTTGTCTAGTTTCTGAACAGATATGAGGAGCTGTGAGCTCTGACTGCTAACAGCTAACGGCTGATGTTGGTTTTGTGGTTCGCATTGAAGATGACGTCACGGCTCCGCCTACACTGCGTTACTATAGTTACTGCCCCAGCTTCTAAACTGTAATGGAAACGCAGCATAAACTGAGCCTGGCCTACCAAGGCCTAACTATACCGTACTATAGAATATTATAGAATCGAGGGGAAGTTCCTAAAATCCATCTAAACATTACCCATTGGTGAATGAGTGATGCGTAGCCAGAATACCCAAAACCGGAAGCTGGCATACACTCTCGTAGCTATCGTAGCAGCTAATATGAAATCTCTGTTATTGACATAAATATGAAGATGGATTATCAGTAATCATTTAAAAGTGACACAGACACATTGGATTAACCTTCAGCAGCGTTTTTATCATTAAAACGATAAAAACGCTGCTGAAGGTTAGCCGTTTTGGCTCCGTAAAGCACATTTTGTTGTTGTTTGTTGTCGTCTCGCCGCGAGTTCTGATCGCTCAGTGATGATACTTATATGTCTGGAATCTGTGGAATCTCAGCTTGCTAATCGATATCTTGTTTGTGCAGATGCGATAAGTAATAAGGGTATTTTACCTTGAGTTCTGTGCTAAGTGCATTAGCATTTTTTCGCTCAGGGCTAATTCAGAGCCCTCTTGTTTTTCGTTTAGATAAACAAGGTTAATATTGCCTGAAAGCTGAGTTTCTTCCCGTGAGTATGAGCCCTCAGACGCTGTTTCTTGCAAGATGTTGCGTCATGCCCCCGGCATGGGGCTTAACTGCACATGAATACTACTGTGTGATATATTTGTTTGAACATATATATTTAAGAAGCACAATATAAGACAAGCAGAAGTTTCATTTGTAGGCCATCATTATACTTCATTACACTTTTTGAATTTGCTGAGGGCCGATTCAAAATGGTCCGCGGGCCGCATTTGGCCCCCAGGCCGTAGTTAGGACACCCCTGCTTTAATGCATTGAAGTGTGGACACAGCTACAGTAGGACCACACTGTGCAGACTGATCTATATACAGGGGGGGGGGGGGGCACCAGATGTGAGGGTCATGTCAGGTAGTCAGTGTGTGGAGACTCTGCAGGATCAGGTTCTCCCTCTGGGAATAAGTGAGAGTCTCTGAAGAACCGCATGATGCAGAACGGACCTCATGTACGTTAAGGATCGAGTTTCAGATGCTGGTCGGAAACTTTCTCCTCCGATGTTTGAGGAAGGGCTTTTTCTGGTGGGGTGGGGTTACTCTGTGTGCAATGTTTATTGATCCGTCATTAAACATTAAGGAGGAGGCTGAGAGACGGATGGGAGCAGAGGAACTGCAGACGCTTATTTTCTGATGGAGACTGAGTTCATTTTCTCTGCTGAGTGCAGACCCTCTGATGGTTTGGTTTGAATTTTGCAGACACATTTCTCAGTATTTCAGCTTTATTTATAGATATATTTGTCTCATTTACATTTGTGTAATCTATGTGTAAATATGTAAACTGTAGGTCTAAAAGCCCTTCCAAAAATGCTAAAATAAATCTTGGTTAAATGAGAAAAATGTTTGCAAAAATACAAAGAATTGATTTGATTTTCTTCAAAAACATTCGTCTATTTTTCACTTTACATGGAGATGGATATGTCTCAATATTATTTGTGTAAATGGATCAAAAATCTGTGTGTATGTGTAAAATAATTTAAAACACATTCCTCAAATGCAAAAAAGTTTCAATACTGAAAATGTATTAAGTAAAAGAAAAATATTTGTCAGCATTTCTCTCACGTTTACAATTTCGATCAGGCATTCACGAGCGAAAATCCGCCCATATCACTCGGGCCGTTTTTTCGGATAGCACATGATGGCCTGCTGCTGATGACGTAATAAATAAGAGCATGACTTCTGGATACTACTGTATGTTTGTTTTTTAAATACCCAGCAGAAAGTAACATGCATTCCTTATTTCATTATGTAAATGTGACACAATGAGTATTAGTGTGTTGATCAGAGGTTTCAGAATCATATAAATGTATATTAAATGATTGGATTCGGATTATTGATGCATTAATATGTTTACTACAGCTGGTGAAGGTGGAGCTAACTTTAAATGGTAGCAGAAAATGAAAATACTTGTACAATTGTTCTAAGGTATGATTAATTACAATGCACCACTGGTGTTGTACTGAACACCCCCGCACACATATCTGTCTCCATAGCTCTACATCTCTCTCACACTACTCTGTTTCTACGCACGCACGCACGCACGCACGCACGCACGCACGCACGCACGCACGCACGCACGCACGCACGCACGCACGCACGCACGCACGCACGCACGCACGCACGCACGCACGCACGCACCACAACACACACACACACACACACACACACACACACACACACACACACACACACACACACACACACACACACACACACACACACCCCCTTTTGGTGTTAAGTGATTCATCCTCATTGTTTTTCCTCTTCCCTTTTTCCTTGTCATCTGCTATTACACCATCCCTCTCTTCTTCAGCTCATATAAACCAGCAGATCTGACAACACTCCTCATTAAACCTCGCTGCATTGAATGCTATTGACACTCAGAATTGATTATTAGAATATTAAGATTATTTATAAGATTATTTAAGACTTTTATAAGAGACTACAAGGCCTAGCTCCCGCCCACGCACGCACGCACGCACGCACGCACACACACACACACACACACACACACACACACACACACACAGACACACACACACACACACACACTCTCTCAGGCTGACAGCTATTGGAGGTGACACAGCTATTAGAGCTGAAGCAGCTCCACTCAGAGAGATGGAGATCGACCGCTCTGACACCCCAGAGTCTGAGGGGGAGGCTGCAGGAGAGGCTGCATTAATACATATTTATATATATTTATATGTATATGTTTCCTCCATTAGCAGTGATAGTCATCCATTAGGTGCAATTATGCAGACGGTAAGGGTTGGAGGTGAAACTTGTACATAATGTTTTCTATCATAGAATCTCTTATTAATTTGGCATACAAAAAAACACTGCATTGGTCAATAACAATACATAAGAGTAACAAATGCGTCACTTCCAGGCAAAAAGTACGGCTCCGCCCACTTTTGGGGGAAAACAAAGCTGTCATTTGAATGGCGGTCAATACAAATTCTGAAGTTTTTGCCAATCCGATCAGAAATGTAAGAAAACCGTGGATTTTTGGATCTTCAAAGAGCCCGATTATGACGGCCAGTCAGGCAAACAATTACATTAAGCCATTAGAAATCAACGATCGGGCTCGATATATGGTTAAATATAGCAGTAGGCGATCGATGTCCATAGATGAGAGTAACATCTACGTCACTTTACGGCCCCGCCCACTTTTGGGGGAAACAGCGCTGTCATTTGAATGGCGATCGAGCCTGAAGCCACAGAGCTCTTCTGTTACTGTCCTTTGTTCTTAGAGGAAGTTCAGAAACACTGAACTCTGGATTTGTTTTAATGTTTGAGGTGCAATAAACGACACAGCAGCTTTTTGGCGTGATAACACAATTATTTTCCGCCTCGCTCAGGAGAGTAACAGCTGGAGAAATTACAGCCTCGCCTACTGATTTTAATTGAACCATATATCGAGACCGATCTTCTATTTCAAATGATTTAATGTAATTGTTTGCCTGACTGGCCATCGTAATCGGGCTCTTTGAAGATCCAAAAATCCACGGTTTTCAAAAGATTCTGATCGGATTGGCAAAAACTTCAGAATTTGTATTGACCGCCATTCAAATGACAGCTTTGTTTTCCCCCAGAAGTGGGCGGGGCCGTAATATTCGCCCGGAAGTGACCTAGGTGCTACTCTCATCTAGAGGAGCTAAATGTATTCTTGTCCCGGATTATGTTTGTTTTTTTATGTAGGGTTGACCGAATAACAGACTTTAACTCAACTATGATGTTGGTAGCAATTTTATCAGCAATTGTATCGAATAAAATAGAAAATATCTTTGTTTTATCATATTTAAATCAGGCAAATTCACCTTTAAATGTATTACAATGGATTTGTGTCTCTATTTTTGGCAAATAAATCACACTCATTTGTATGTCAGGTGATTTATAGACACAGCGTGATGTTATCATTTCTGTATTTAGAAACATGAGGTCAATTATCATTCGTTAAATAACACAATTTCCCCCTATTTTTAGAAAGTCACTTATCAGTATATGTAATGTTCACAATTGTACTTATTTTAAGCCGAACAAGAATCATTCTCTTTAAAGATAATCAAGAAGTTTTGTTGTGTCTCGTTCAGTTCTGTCTCAGTTTACAACACGGTAACGTAATGTTGTAGACGACAGGTTTGTTTACTTTCATTTCTGTCTTTTTTTAACAATAACAATATGTCTTTGGGTGTTGGTATCAATGACAGCTGATGACTGACGGAATAACAGTTGAATAATCAGAATGAACGTCCAGCATGTGAAGTGTTCCCTGCTATAAATATCTCTCTGTTTGAAACTCAAAGCGTCTTCACCTCAGAGCGTCTGTAGGATTAGAGCTGGTTTATTAGATTAAAACCACTTCAGCTGCTTCAGACGGCAGACAGGAACTCTCTCTCCACTATTAAACATGCTTTTACTAAAGTCAACAGTCAGATCAACACTGGAAAGGAAACTGAAAACATCAAATATAATTCAATTCAACATATTCAATATTGACGGATTATAAAAACCCTTTAAGTAGCTCTGGGGAATATCTGGATATAATACGGATATTGTGATATGAGACTAGATATCGGGTTAGATTTTGAATTTCCTAGGTAGCGTGGAGTCATTTGCTTTCAGATTTGACAACAAAACTGCGCCTTTAAACGCAATTTTAAGCTCTTTGAACGTAGGACTGGGCAATATATTGATTTTATATCAATAGTATATGTGACTAATATATGTCTTGATTATTATAATAAAACTACTGTTGTCTTTTCCTGGTTTTAAAGGCTGCATTGCAGGAAGTTGATGTCATTTTAAAATGTATTATTTTACTTTAGACACTAAATTATTATACATGGGGCGAAACCTGCGAGCTAGTTCAGGCATCAACTCGAGCACCAATGATACATTAACACGTGACGCACCTCGTCCCTCTTACAACCAACCAAACACATTCTCCTAAACATGCCGCTCTATTTAAGCTGCCAGGTCTTCCTGCCTCTGTGTCGCTATGCTGCTGCTGCTGCTGTGTTCACTTGCTATTGCTACGTTCATGTTCCTGCTGCTGTGTTTCATGTTGCTGCTGCTCGCCTGCCCCACCACCACCCCAGCTTCCACCCAGCTTCCACCCCAGCTTCCACCCCAGCTTCCACCCCAGCTCCACCCCAGCTTCCACCCCAGCTCCACCCCAGCTTCCACCCCAGCTTCCACCCCCAGCTTCCACCCCAGCTTCACCCCAGCTTCCACCCCAGCTCCCACCCCGCTTCCACCCCAGCTCCACCCCGGCTTCCACCCCCAGCTTCCACCCCCAGCTTCCACCCCAGCTCCCACCCCAGCTTCCACCCCAGCTTCCACCCCAGCTTCCACCCCAGCTTCCACCCCAGCTTCCACCCCAGCTTCCACCCCAGCTTCCACCCCAGCTCCACCCCAGCTTCCACCCCAGCTTCCACCCCCAGCTTCCACCCCAGCTTCACCCCAGCTCCACCCCAGCTCCACCCCAGCTTCCACCCCGCTTCCACCCCAGCTCCACCCCGGCTTCCACCCCAGCTTCCACCCCAGCTTCCACCCCAGCTTCACCCCCGCTTCCACCCCAGCTTCCATCCCAGCTTCCACCCCAGCTACCACCCCAGCTTCCACCCCAGCTTCACCCCCGCTTCCACCCCAGCTTCCACCCCAGCTTCCACCCCAGCTTCCACCCCAGCTCCATCCCAGCTACCACTTTGGAGAGACTACAGAGCCAAGGTAAAAATGTTAGCATTTTTAGCTACCTAGCGTCACCTGTTTTGATGTCCATTTTTGCTTGTAATGTCGCCATTTCGTATAATTCAGTGATAATGAGGGTACCCATCGATTCTGTGTCACCTCACGATGTGAAACGATGTCATGGATGTAGAGAAGAGATAAATAATAAGGTTTTGTGAGTCATTTTCGGTGCAGTAAGGTGTTAGCATTTTTCGCTCGTTGCTAATTCAGAGGCTCAGTGTTAGCATTGTGGGTTTTCTTTTGAAAAAAAAAAAAAAAAGATCAGTTAGATGAGTTTCTTCCCGTTACATGGATATAAAACATTCATAGTTTTATTAAATGAACATGCCCTCAGACACTGTTTCCTGCAAGATGTTGCGGCAGTGCCCTGGTACCGGGGTCTCTCGGGCTTAGCAGGTTAATAAAAGCACAAATTGTAAACCCTACAATTAGTCCCAAAATCTGTTAATAAATGTAGACATTTATATAAATATCCACTTGTTTATATATTATTGCAGTTTACAGCATGTATTCTACTATGAAGTATTTAATTTTACATTTGTATATATATGTGTGTGTATGTGCATATGTGTGCCTATATAAATATGTTTTGTATGCTTGAGGAGACTTTTTATCGCCACCAACTGCGCTATAAATGCATCTGACAAATAAAGCCTGTAAATCTTTGTAGATAACTGGTGCATGACCTGCTTAAATAAATGTTTTCTGTTGTGCATATCTTACTGTAGAAGACAGAGGGGGGGTCATGGAAGAAGGAGTAGGAGGTGAAGAAGAGCAGGTAGGTGCTGTAGGACCAGGACATGGTGTAGAAGACCAGCTTCCACGCGCTCTCCGGCATCTTGGCAGCATCTTTGGGCAGCAGCCGGCACCACCGAGCCAGAGGCTGCGGAGAGAGAGGAGGAAGGAGAAGAAGAAGAAGTCAGACAGGAAGTCACTCTACATCGAGCTGTCTGTGAGCATGTGGCTGTGTGAGCTGCAGCTGGAGGTGCTTTACACACAATTACTGATTAATTCAGACGGTGTTCCTTTACAGAAATGTGAAATTCAATACACGGCTCTCCATTCCACACGCGGATTCTTTACCGTGTGTTAATGCACCGGAGGGAAATCATTGGGTGTCTCTTTTTATTGTACATGACATGTTTATATTGTTCCATTATGTGTAGCCTGAAAAGTATTTCTGCAAAGACTCAGATACTATAAGAAGAATGAGCAGGAACATTTAGAGGGGAATTGTTATAAAGGGATTGTAGTTGTTGCAACAGCTCTAGGCAAAATATTTTTAAATAATAAAATAAACAAATTATATTAAAAAGATGTGGCTGCACCTCAAAGATTGGTGACATCCTCCTGGATCAATATTTTTTTTAATACACGTTGACATTATTCTTTGGGCATTTTAATTGTCTCAATTGTATGTTTTATATCTGTTTGAATCGATAAAGACAACATCTTTTAAATGTCTTGGGAGAGGGAACTTCCTTAGTTGCTCTCATTACATTAAATGTCACTTGTTAGACGCTTTTATCCAAAGCGACTTACATACATTCAGTACTGTGGACAATCCCCACAGGAGCAATTTGGGGTGAAGTGTCTTGCCCAGGGACACAACGACATGCTGACTAAAGTGGGACTTGAACTTGCTATCCCCTGATTCGAAGTCCAGCACACTATCCACTGAGCCACAGCTTCCCCCCTCTCCTCGATGTTTAAAACAAATCCATGAGAGGAGGCCTCATGATCTGCAAACCCATTAAATCCACACACAGTGAGATGTTATGTTGCTGGTGTTTATCAAAGTGTTTCCTGGTTACTGCGAGGGTCTTAGGAAAGAGTTTAGAAACACACTAGACCTCCTGAAGGCCAATGATAGACTCACACTTTCCTTAGACAGTCACGTTTTCCCAGAAATGGGAAGTTGTTCTTTTACTTCTGTGTGTTTGTGAGCTTTAATGCGGAAACAACATGGACGCTGCAAAGAAGATGTGTTGTAGGCCTATTTAAATGTGTATACAGTATAATGTCAATAAACTAGCACACATGCGTCCCACGTTTTTATCCATGGTGCAACATTTTTAATTGTCTATACCAGGGGTGTCAAACTCAAATACACAGTGGGCCAAAATTAAAAAATGGGTACTAGTCGAGGGCCGGACTGGTTCAATGTTTATAGCAGAACTTATTGAAATGAACTTATTGCACATATTAAACCTGGAACTAACAAAGCTTAAATGATTGCCTATAAAAACAACATTAAACATTAAATAATCAGTTGCATTCATTTCTTATGGCTCTATCTGCAGCTTTTCCAGAGTCATTTCTTATGATTACATTTTCCCACAGGCCAACAACAACTTCAACAAAACTATTTCCCTCAAAGAAAAACCCAAACATGCCCTGTTGTCTCAAGAAAGAAAGTGCAGAAGGAAACATCCATGTAAACTCAGTGTGCTGCTCTGTGATGCTAGTTCAAGCCAGATACTTGGCATCTCATCTTGGGTGCACGTTCATCAATGTTTGGGGTCAGGCTCTGAGCGGAGGAGACCCTCAGGATGGAGTGAAGGTGTGCGTGCAATATACCGGAGGGCCAGATCTAATAGTAATTAAAAATTATCCTGCGGGCCGAAATTAAATCCACCAAGGGCCTGATTTGGCCCCCGGGCCTTGAGTTTGACACATGTGGTCTATACAGTGTTTACGTAAAAAAACAAAGATTGACGGGGCGTTCATGTCAATTTTCTAAGTGCAGGAATGACGTTTTCTGATTATTTCTGACACCACATGAAGCCTACATATCTCTCAATGTTAACAGGAGGGAAACTCAGCTTGTGATTCAGATCATGGTCAATGGTACAGCCTTACACCAGGTTTCAAGAAAATTCGGGGAGTAGTTTTCTGTAAAAGCTCCTGAAGGATAAACAGACGAACCGGGCCAAAAACATGACCTCATTGGTCAAACTTCACCTAGGAAATCCTGGATTGAATCACAACACACAGGTGTTTACCTCCCTTTGTGTGAAGCAAATGGAAGAGCAAACCGTTTCTGACCGCAGTGCACATGTTGTTTTTGAAATGCTAAATGGATATGGATTCTCTTAAATAAAAACGTGCTGTTGATTGTCTGAATCATACACAGCCTTGGATATATCTGCAACGATGCACAAATGACGGGTTCAAACTGAATGAATTTACGCAACCTTATGAATGAAGCTTGAAACTCTTCAGTACAGACGTGGTTTTATATGTGTTTGTGGTGAACTTGCACCCATGCATCCCACGTAGAACCAGAATGACCACGTTTGTATACAGGGTGCAACATGTTTTGTCCATCGGCCACATAGCTAGAGGTGTTCAAAGTTCGACAGCCACGCAACAGATAACCTTGGTCTAAAGTTTATGGCTGGTGAGCGATGCAGATATTAGCCACTTGCATATTATAACAGCATTTGGACAGTAAATGTTGCAGAAAGTTATATTTTAGCGATTTAAGTATATGCTACTAAGTCATAATTCTCATGATCATGGAAACACATTATAATTATTATGGTGTGATAGGATCTAACAATCAAATAAGTCTGCAGAATATGATTTGTAGGCTTGGATATCTCTGCAGACCCACAATACTTCATTCAAAATGGCATTTCATAAGAATTTAACCTTTAATAAATGATGTGCCTCCTGCAATTTCAATATCGCACTAGTCCATATTGTGATTTTAGTAACATTTTGATTAATTGTGCTTCCTTAAAGACAACATCCTCTATACCGTAGAGGTATTTAATAAGAAACCCATGATTGTTTGTTCATGTATATAGTGGTACATGTTGGGGTGTTGATTGAAAGTGTAATATGACCCTATTTAAGCAACATGTTTTAGATTAGATTAGATTCCTTTTGTTGTCCGAGTACAGCGAAATTCCAAGCATTCCCGAAGGTGCAATCACACATAACAGACACTATAAGTATCATTTTGACAATACATGCTAAAACTTTTAATATATAATATATAGAGTAGGGATGCTCCGATCGATCGGCCGCCGATCGTTATCGACCGATACTCACTCTCTGCTGATCGATCGGTGCTCTCTATAAATGCCGATCGGGAGAGCCGATCACATGACCTAAAATACATGACACTTTTCTCTGTGCGGGCGAAACAAGCTCGCCAAAATGGCTTCACCAGTCTGGCAGTATTTTAAGGTGTCCGAAAAAGACAGTAAAATAGCGGTATGCAACGTGTGTGTGAAGCAGAAATCCTGCAGCTCCACCCGCTGTGACGGACCGGTGAGCGGAGCAACACACACACTAAGAGTTAGACCTAACACACTTAGCTATTTTATCTACCTCTGGAACAAGCTAAACTAGTTATAAATATGTTTATTCTTCACTGTCGGGTCACTCATTACTGGATCAGTGAGCTGCATGAGACGATACTGACAGGCTGTCAGGAGAGAGAGAGAGAGAGGGGGAGAGAGGGGGAGAGAGAGCGCTTCTGCTCATTTCTCCCGTGTTATTATCCAAAGTTAATGTAAACTTGAATAATGTACTTCATTTGAATGTAATAATGATGTTGGTTGTTGTTTGTGGAAGCACCAGTGAATGAGCCCCATTAACTGAGTTTTAAACATCACTTTAAATGGAAGATCCCCATAGGCCCCGCCCACTCGATCTGTATCGGCCGATACTGATTCCGGCGATCGGCCCCACAATTGGCGATCGGAGCATCCCTAATATAGAGTGACTATAAATTGGACCTATGATACATTGAAGAGTACGCTTACAAAACAATACAACATTACCATACAAATGCAAGAACAATACGGTCAAGGCAGTACAACATGTAAACAAGTCAGTAAGTAAGTTATTGCACATGTATTTATCAGTGCAGTTGATAATTGCAAAACTAGAAGTAAATATGTGTTCCTTGTCAGATTACTATTGACCTGTAGCTCAGCACTATTAACAGAGACAGGATGTTGCTGTTAACAACAGATATAGCAGATGTTGTTTTTACACATGCATACAACTCAATAACCCTGGTGCATGTCTTCCTCTCTGTACGTCGCTCTGTTCCTCACACAAAGGCCATCATCAGAAAGCTTCATTAGCACCGTGTAACCGTCGTCTGCCCACAGAATGTCTTTCACAAGTCTGCGTACGTTTCGCTCTGCAGGCAGAAAAACGGGAAGTGGGAGAGAAGGCTTCTGACTTCCTGATCTGCCGCCTGATAACGGGGGACACCCCCCACCCTCATCTTCCTCTAAAGCCAACCTACTGTCGCTGACTTCTTAACAGGCAAGAGACGAAACGTATGTCTCAATAAACTGACCAAAATAATGATATCATGATAGTCTAAGTAAGAAGTTGCATCACAGATAGAAAACATAATGAGAATAATAAATAATCTAATTATGTTTGATAAGGTCATTGTGAAAATAAAGAAAAAATGATTATAAATAATATAAATAATAATTAATACTATTATTATGATAAGGCCCCTCTTGAAAAATTAAAGCAAACGTAAAAAAAATATATATATTAAAATAATAAAAATATAATAATAAATAATTTAAATTAAATTAACAATAATAACAATATATTTTAAAGAGCTCTTTTGATGGTATGTAAAGAAACTTTACATGTACAGCAGGGGTGTCAAACTCAAGGCCCGGGGGCCAAATCCGGCCCGCGACTTCATTGAATGTGGCCCGCATGCAAAGAATATAATACGTTTATTATACGGTTACATGCCACTTTACAGGAGCACGTTGCCCATAAACTACATGTCCCACAATGTATCTTGTTTTGTGACATGCTCACTGAAGAGACTTGCAATTATTTGCCCTAGACTTCTGCTTTCAGACGTAGTTAATTATGAAGTTA